CACCGCATGTCGCACGTGTCGACCGGTGGCGGTGCGTCGCTGGAGCTGCTGGAGGGCAAGACGCTCCCCGGCGTCGCCATCCTCGACGACAAGGAGTGACGGGTAGGGGGACTCCTGGGAGTTCTTTCCAATTTGTTTTCTCGATTACCACTTTCACACGCATTTTCTACACAGGGCCCTCGCCTGAGTTGCCCAAAGCAGATGCGTTTCGCATAGGCTCTGGATCGGTATTTCCTTCCTTCTGTTGTGGGCCCAGCTTCTCTTCCTTGTTTTTCTTTTTGTCTTGCTGTATAAATTTCTTCTCTCCTTGTCGGTGTATCCTCTTTCCGTACCGTATGTGTGTCGTTGCGTGTTTGTTTCTGTGTGGCGCGATAGAATTACAACAATAAAAGTCTTATAACAGCAAAAGTCAACGAAATCAAAGGAAAGAATTAAAAAGAAAGCCATACATAAAGCCAAGATGACACTGACAGAGAAGAAGAGCATCGATCAGGTGGACATGAAGGGGAAGAGGGTCCTGCTGCGTGTGGACTTCAATGTCCCCGTGAAGGATGGAAAGATCACGAACGACTACCGCATCCGTGCAGCCCTGCCGACGATCCAGAAGGTGCTGAAAGACGGAGGCAGCTGCATCCTGATGAGCCACCTCGGCCGGCCGAAGGGCGTGCGCATCTCGGAGGCGGCACCTGCTGGCGGTGACCATGCGCCCGGCTACGAAGCGGCGGCGACGCTGCAGCCTGTGGCGCAGCGCCTTGGCGAGCTGCTGGGCTCTCCCGTGATGTTCGCCCCAGACTGCCTCAACGCCGCGTCGACGGTGGAGAAGCTCGCGCCTGGTTCCGTCGTGCTGCTGGAGAACGTGCGCTTCTACGCGGAGGAGGGCAGCAAGAAGGTGGAGGAGCGTGAGGCGATGGCGCGCGTGCTGGCGTCGTACGGCGACGTGTACATCAGCGATGCGTTCGGCACTGCGCACCGCGACAGCGCGACGATGACGGGCATCCCGAAGCTGCTGGGCCACGGCGCGGCGGGCTACCTGATGGAGAAGGAGATCTCGTACTTTGCAAAGGTGCTTGGCAACCCCGCGCGGCCACTCGTGGCGATTGTGGGTGGGGCAAAGGTGAGCGACAAGATCCAGCTGCTGGACAACATGCTGCAGCGCATTGACTACCTGATCATTGGTGGCGCGATGGCGTACACGTTCCTGAAGGCGCAGGGCCATCGCATTGGTATCTCGATGTGCGAGGAGGACAAGCTGGAGCTGGCGCGCTCGCTGCTGAAGAAGGCGGAGGACCGCAAGGTGCAGGTTCTGCTTCCGGTGGACCATGTGTGCCACACAGAATTCAAGGCTGTGGACGCGCCGCTTGTGACGGAGGGCGTGGACATCCCAGATGGTTACATGGCGCTTGACATCGGCCCCAAGACGATCACCAACTACGTGGAGGTGGTGGCGAAATGCAAGAGCGCGATCTGGAACGGGCCGATGGGTGTGTTCGAGATGGCGCCGTACTCGAAGGGCACCTTTGCGATTGCGAAGGTGATGGGCGACGGCACGCAGAACCACGGGCTGATGAGCATCATCGGTGGCGGCGACAGCGCGAGTGCGGCGGAGCTGAGCGGTGAGGCGCACCGCATGTCGCACGTGTCGACCGGTGGCGGTGCGTCGCTGGAGCTGCTGGAGGGCAAGACGCTCCCCGGCGTCGCCATCCTCGACGANCACCGCATGTCGCACGTGTCGACCGGTGGCGGTGCGTCGCTGGAGCTGCTGGAGGGCAAGACGCTCCCCGGCGTCGCCATCCTCGACGAGAAGTAGTGGAAGGATGTTTTTAAAGCAAACGGGTCAACCATGGGATGTTGAATAAGTCGAAAAAACTAACCTTCTATAGGATATAGGAGGGGAGGGGGAGAGGCCAAAAGAAGTCTTTTTTTTTGTTTCTTTCGACGCGAAGGACCTAGTATGTTTCTTTTTCAGGGTAGTCCTTTTTGTCTATCCAAACTGTGCCTTAATTGTTTTGTTCCAGTGCGTTGTAGGTGTGGATTGCGTATCTGATGCCTTTCATTCTTTTTTCTTCTTTTGGTTCGTTGTTGCATTTTCTTTCCTCTTTGTGGGGGTGGGGGTGGCTTTTGTGCTTTGTGCTTGCATCTACTAGTGCTTGAGGCGGGCGCGAGGTTGTATTAGCTGGATTTGCTGCANTTTGTGCTTGCATCTACTAGTGCTTGAGGCGGGCGCGAGGTTGTATTAGCTGGATTTGCTGCAGTCTGATGGCGGTGCGTAAAAGCGCATCCGACGGAGGGCCGTCCGTATTAATTGAGCAGCTGTGCGAGGGACTTCCGTACAGCGCGGCGATGTTCCCCGACGCGTTCGAGGTTGCGCCGAAAAGTTGGCCCTTCGACGCCGCAGCGCGCCGCTCCGCACGGTCGCGGACGCCGCTGGTAGACTCGACGCGGGCCGCCGCGCCTGACGCCACAACGGTGGTTGACGAGACCCTGCGGTTGATGATGCGCCGCGGCATGCACGAAGAGCAGCGGGTGCGGCTGCGGCGGCGCGTGCAGCAGCGGCGGG